TGCAAATTTTCATTTTTCAGGTTTATACAAGCTCACGAGAAAGAGGTGAATAGAATATAGCCCTCCACCCTCAGAGCTCCTTCTTCTCAACATCAACTTTGATATGAATCTTCAAGGTTGCCATATAACTCTTTCAGTCCATCTATAGTCTACCACAGTCCCTAATCTGTTCTCTTTATGATCTCTGGAGCAACCCCACTATCCATTCTGGCAATAGCTCAAATCTCCTAAAGCAAGTTTTGCTTGAGAGAAATATTTTGAGGTCTTTCATTCCTAAGGAATGTTTTTCACAAGGCACCAAGCTATTCTGAACACACCCAGAGTAAATCGCTCCAACTTCATAAACTGAGTAGCATCACTTGCTTTCATCTCCCTAAATACAATTTACTGTCTCACAACTGTGATCTCATGAGGCATCTACACAGAAGAGGTCACACACAGGCTTGCACGTCAGTGATAAATTAGGTTATATCATAGATTTTTGAGACTAGCTACCCAAGACATTAACATATTTGGAGGAAATAGTGTGACTGAACTGTTCCTTTATGGTTTCCTTTTGTTAATGTTGTCTTCAAGTTCATTAAAGACATCTCCTGGGCTTTAAGGTCATTTCCAATTTGCTGCATTCTCTTTGCTTTTTCAATCAGTTAGACAAGTTGACGTAGGAAAGTGATGGGTTCTCATAGAATTTCAATTTTCAGCAACTCAAAAATACCCACCTGGCATCTTGCATTTTGAGTCAAAGTATGACAAAGTGTCTTTTGAAGTTAATGAATGGCCTATCTTATCTACCATATACTACACAGAATTTGAGATCAGAAGAAAGCATCTAAAGTTCATGATAGTTACTGAAAAAAAATTAGGCCTGCTTGTCAGTTTTCAATTCTTCATCTCTACTTCTGTTCTGTTTTCTGTCCCACTACTGACTAAAATTCTATGCTAAGAGGATTCCCTGTTCTTTGTCCAGCAATCCCTTCTGCCTTAGTTTCTTTTCCTGTTGCTGTGATAAAATACCTGACCAAAAGCAACTTAAAGAAGGAAGGGTTTATTTCAGCTCACAATAATACATTGCAGTTCATCATGTTGGGGAAGAGCTTCAGATGTCTGGTTGGTCACATGGCATCCACAATCAAGAAACAGAGCAATGAATTCCTGTGCTCAACTCACTTTATCTTTTTTTTTTTTTTTTCATGCAGTCAAGGACTTCATCCCAGGGAGTGGTGTCACCCACAATTGATGGGACTTTTCATCTCAATTAACCTAATCAAAAATAAAATCCCTCAAAAGCATGCTCAGATGCTAACCTAACCTAGAAAAGCCCTCACAGGTGTACATAGAGGCATATCTCTTAGATCATTATAGATTCTGTCAACTTGACAACAAAACTGACAATCACACTTTCTCCCCACCCCTGCAAGTCAAAGCTATAAGTAACCTTCAGAGGGACAGCTCTGAGAGAGGTGTTGTCAGTCTTAAGGAGCCATTAGAAAAGACTGGAGGATGTTTAGGCATAGATTGCTGATCTTTCTCTCAGAATTTCTGATTCAGTAGACCTAGATGAGACCTGAGTGGATTTTGTTTGATAAGTTCTAGGAGTTTCTAACTAGGCTTGTCTCTAAACCAAAAACGTAGAATTGCTAGCTTAAATCCTAAAACTAGCACTGTTCTGCAAATAATTATCCATGGCTATTGTGGTTTGAATGAGAATGTTCCCCCATAGGCTCCATCTATTTGGACATTTTGTCCCCAGTTGGTGGCGCTGTTTTGGGAGGTCTTAAAGATGTGGCTATGCTGGAGGAAACACATCACTGGAAACAGGCTTAGAGAGTTCTTAAGCCTTGCCAGACCTCTAGTCACTCTCTTGTTTCCTGTGCCTGCTTGAAGATGTAGAGCCTAGCTTCTGCTCCTACTCCAGCTACCTCTGCCACCATGCCTCCCCACCATGATGGACTCTTGCCCCTTGGAACCATAAGCTTAAATAAATTCTTCCTTCTATAAGTTGCTCTGGTCAGTGTTTCTATCACAGCAACAGAAAAGTAACTAATATAATAGCTTTCATTCAAGATAATTTAAATTCTTTTTCAAGGCTCACATTGCTCCACATCAGCTGGTTCTTGACTTATTCTTATATTTTGTCTCTAACTGCCTGTTGCTACTGTTGATAAAAGTTTAGAACCTTGCTCTCCTCCCTCTCTCTCTCTCTCTCTCTCTCTCTCTCTCTCACACACACACACACACACACACACACACATACAGGCATGTGCACAAATGCAAATATTAACCCTAAACAATTAAGCCATTGAAGATTAAGCTTCAAGCCAGACATAGCTTGTTGACTCTTAGTCTAGACCATCCACAAGACGATGAATCTAAACAGCAACTTGTAAGTCAACATCTTTGATATGTCCTTCCCCCAAAGGGGATTTGCAACTATCAAAGGAATTCCACTGAACTTAGCATTGTGAAGTCATTGTAGGCTTATGTTGTTTCTTTTGCACAGACAGAACAGTATATAAAAGTCCTGGTGCACAAGTAGGTGATCAAAAATTAGACAGTAAAATAATTAGAAATTAATGAATTTGCTACCTCTAAAATATCTCATTTAATTCAATCAATAATCCACTTCATCACATTTATTTAATTTTTTAGTGAAAGTGTTAACCAGGCAGCTCACCAAATTGCTGAAAATCTAACCTTTGTCCTTACTGAACTGAGCTGATTTCCACACAGCAGTGCTCTTATTTTAAATCCCAGAAAGACTATTTGGCCTTCCTGCTCTGGGACCAGATAAGCCTGTCTGACCTTTGACAAGGGTAGTGGGATCCTTCTTTGAAGTAGCCTCCCGCTAGACGACTTCTGCTACTTTTTGCGAACAAAGTGTTCTACCCCTTCCTCCCCAAGTGCCCTGCCTGTCTGTCTACCACAGCTCCCATTGCTGTGCTCAGCAGTGGCTTATTTTGGCTATCAGACTAGAAGCTTATCCAGCTCAGAGAACTGGACTCAGTCATCTCTGAGCTCATCAGAAAACCAGTAGGGGCATAATACATACTTCTTGAAATGAACTTTTAGAAAAGATGGCTAAATATTGGCTGCCGGCTTACAGAGTTCACAGTCTCCTTTGTAATATAGTGTTATGCATTCCTCTGAGCCTCTTCCATGGGGCTTTAGGTTCAGTGCCCAGTGCCACAGGTACAAGGAAGAAACAGCTCTCTTACTTATTAGCTACGTGTCTACATGGGATGTTAAACCCAATAGTGCATGCCTTTAACCCCAATACTCTGGAGGTAAAGGCAGACAGATCTCTGTGAGATAGAGAGAAGTTGAGCAGCCTGATCTATATAGTGTGCTCCAGGCCAGGAGGAGTAGGAAAAGGAGGACGAGGGGGAGGAGGAGAAGGATGAGGAAGCCATGTGGGCAATGGAAGTAAAAGACCAGTGCTCCACTGATAATATAGCTTTTAATTCATTTTTTCTGTGTGGGGGAGGGCATGTCAAGATGCACCTATGAAGGTCAGCGGGCAACTTGTACTGGTCAGTTCTCCCTTTTAACCACATGGTCACAGGTAATGGAACTCAGGTCATTAGTTTGATGGCAAGCACCTTTACTGGCTGAACTAGCTCATTGGCCCACTCCTGGAGATTTTCTTGATACTTTCTATGTCTTTCATTATCCCTTGTAATTAAAACTGCTTTAGAAAGAAAGAATGTTTATGCACAACCAAGAGACTTGGCCACATACAAGGAAGCTAGAAGTATATACATACAAGCAAACATACATATGTACATACACACACATATATACATATATATGTATAAAATGCTTTTAAACAAAAACCAAGAAAAGAGTTTGCTTTCTTGTAATAATTAACCTGTTGTGGTGGTTTGAATGAAAATGTCCCCCACAGGCTCCAAGTATTTGGACATTTTGTCCCCAGATGATGGCACTATTTTGGGGGGTTTTAGAAGGTGCAACCATACTGGAGGAAGCACATCACTGGGGGCGGGCTTAGAGAGTTCTTAAGCCTTGCCAGCTCTCCAGTTGTGCTCTCTTGCTTCCTGTGCCTGTGTGATGATTTGAGAGCTTCACTTCTGCTACTCCTGTGCCAGCCACCTCCAGCCACCATGCCTCCCTGCCATGATGGACTGTAATTCCCCTGGAACCATAAGCTCAAATAAACTCTTCCTTCTGTAAAGTGCTTTGGTGAGTGTTTCTATCACAGCAACAGAAAAGTGACTAATACAAATGTCAACTTTCCAAAATTTAGAATCCTGGGAAGAGAGTCTTAACGGAGGGATTTCCTTCATCGGGTTGGCCTGTGAGTTTTTCTGGAGGGGATTTTCTTGACTGTTAATTGGTGTGGGAAGCCCCTCTCTGAATGTGTGTGGTACCACTACATGGGCTAAGCCTAGAGCCATATAAGAGTGAGGAAAGCTAGTGACAACAAGCAAGCAAGGAATATCTGTTTTCTCTGCTCTTGAGTATGACCAGCTGCTTGAGTTCCCACCTTGACTTCCTTGAAATGACGAATTGTAACCTGGAATATGAGCCAAATAAACCTTTTACTCCTCTATGTTGCTTTTGATAATGGTGTTTTGTCACAGCAGTATGGATGAATTTAGAATACACACTTATACATATACATATATACATTCTCATGCACTATATACACATACACAAGTACACAAACACATACAAACACAGAGAGGGAGAGGGAGAGGGAGAGGGAGAGGAGAGAGAGAGAGAGAGAGAGAGAGAGAGAGAGAGAGAGGGAGAGAGAGAGAGAGAAACTATTGATTTTAATGCCCAGGCTGTTACCATATAAGTGACCCAAAACTTGGCTCAGGCCTTTCTCCACCTCAATGCTAGCTATTCTAAGACTGCTCCCTTGTAGCCTGCCTAACCTAGATGTAGGAGTGATTATTCTCAGTGAGCACTCCTCAGAGGCTCTGTCCACATACCTCCCTACCACTCCTGAGACCCTGCAAGGAGTGTGAACTCACCTCATAGTCAATGTCCAACGCATCCGTCTCACCCTTGGTCCGGAAGTGCTGTGTGTGCTTGTCCACTGTGAAGTTCACCTGCCTGCCCACCCGCTCGAGGAGGACTGAGTGCCAGTGCTGGTCATCCAGGAGGCTACCCAGGGTAGCCAAGGGAGGACTGCTGATGAGCCGGGCTTTGCTGTCATCTGTAGAGGGGAGGAAGGCAGGATGGTATCTGAGTGCAGGATAGCTTCAAATCCGGCCTATCAACAGCAAGATTGTGGAAGCTTTCTTCTGCAGTGTCAGCTTACCCTGTCCTAAATGTATCTTAGAAGGATAGTTTTCCCTCTACAGGCCACCACCACGCAAGGCTTCTACAGAAATAACTCAGGTTTTTCCCTCAGACTCCAGAACCCAGTTTGACCTCAAACAATATATACTTTTACTTCCCGTCAGGGAGTGAATGTTTGTTGGACTTCAACAACCAAGTGTGAAAAAAACATTACCATTACCATATTTGCCACAGGAATAAGACTGAAAAGAGTTTTCACATTTAGAAACACACACACACACACACACACACACACACACACACACATGGACTGAAAAGAGTTTTCACATTTAGAAACACACACACACATGCACACACATACACACACACACACATACACACACACACACACACGGCTGAAGACATGGCTCAGCAGTTAAGAGCACTGGCTGCTCTTGCAAAGAACCCTGGTTCAGTTACCACCACCTATTGGTAGCTGACTCCGGTTCCCCTATAACTCCAGTTCCAGGAGATCCAATGCTCTTTTCTGCCCTCCATATACACCAAGCATGCAGGTGATGCACTTAAATACATGTAAACAAAACACTCATCCACATAAAAATTTTTAAATCTTTTTTAAAAATTACACATTCTTTGTGTGTTGTAAGTGGAGAAAGCTGGGAAGGAAGGGTGACCTCGGCATAAGTAAGTGAAGAAAGTGGCCATGCAGAGTGTGTCTATGTGGGAAAATCATTCCAGCTCCAAAAGTTGAGTGCTTTCTCTGTCAGCTACGTCTTTCCACCCAAAATTACCACCGCTAACACTCAGAATTTGTCACAACCTTAAATGCAACCAGTCATGACTGATATATAAACATGGTTAAACATGGTTAAAGTTTACATTTAGTTATTGTATATGTGTATACCACAGTCACATGTAGAGGTCAGATAATAACCTGCCAGAGATGGTTCTTTCCTTCCATCATGTGGATCCCCTGGAATTAATTCAGGTTGTCAGACTTAGCAGTAAGCAACTTTACCCATCGAGCCATCTCACAGGCCCCTGATACATAAATTTTAATTTGGGGGAATATTTAGTGCTCCCAACCCCTTAGAAAATGAAAGCCAAATGTGTCTATCTCTCCTCTCCCCTGCAGTGTGTCATCGCCACCTGCACCTCCCAGCCTGTGCACTGTGTGACATTCATGAGGCAAGGGTTGCTACGCCTACCTCCAGTATGGCCCTAAGTCACTGTTTCACTGATTAATAACTCCTGGCTTACAGCAGGAGTGGGAATGGGGATACCAGACTTAGCATAATTGGATAATGTGAGCTGGTAAATTAATGTTTGATTCTATTTTGTTGGTTTACTATTTATTTATTCTACAAGTTTTGAATTCTCACCATTTGTCAGATTATGCTAATATATTAATAAATGCTTCAATTTTCTTCTTTCTCCCTCTCTGTCTCCTTTTCTCCTTCCCACCCTCCCTCTGAAGGACACTGTAATCTAGCTGAACATGTTACATCTAAAGGGGGCACAGAGGTGGGGTTTTAACCCTCGTGGTTGCAGTGCAGGTGTCCTAGAGAAAGAACAATAAGGACAGAAGGTAACAGATGCATGGCACAGGGCAGCAAGAAGCTGTTAGACCCAAGAAGAAGGGTTCACTGAGCAGGAGGAGCTGGTGCCCAGGCTGGCGTGGCAGGGAGTGGCATTGTTCAGTAGAGCAATGCTGGCTGGCAGATTTGGCCCCACCTTCCAGGACCCTGTATGTGAAGTTGCTGCATTCAAGTTTTATTTTTAAGGAATAAGAACCATGGATGACCTGGAAATCAGATAGTAATGGTTCAGATTAACACTGAAGAAAGGTTTTATCTGCAGCTACATGAGAATTTGATTTTTGCTGTCAAACCAACCTCTTTATAGATTCTACCTTTAAAAATCCTGATATAATTTATGAGAGCACACAGTCTCACAGTTAAAAATTATATTTCTTAGTAATTTCAATACATTTCAATACTCTTTAAATTTTTACTTTATTTATTATTTTTATTTTATGTGTACAGTGTATTGCCTGCATGTGTTTAAGTGCACCTGTGTTGTGCAATGCCCACAGAGGTTAGAAGAAGGCATTGGATCACCTGGAACTGGAACTATGGACAAATGTTAACCACCACGTGGGTGGTGGGACTCAAACCCGGGTCCTTTGCAAGAACAGTCAGTGCTGTTAACCACTGAGACATCTCTCCAGCCTCCTTGTTTAAAATTTTTTATGTGTGTATGAGCACGTGTCTGCGAGTGTGTGAGTGTGGGTGTGCATATGCCAGGATGTGCTTGTGAATGTCAGAGATAACCTGTGGTGTTGGTCTTCATCTTCCATCTTCTTTGACACAGGGCCTCTTGTTTTTCACTATATACCGCAGGCAACTGGCCCCTGAGCCTCTGGGGACTCTCCTGTCTCTGCTGCCCATCTTGCTGTAGGAGAGCTAGGATTGCAGACATGCATGCTGCTGTTATATAAAGCATCATGTGGGTGCTGTGGGTGCTGGACAACCAAACTCAGGTCTTCACATTCCTGTGGCAAACTTTACCCATTGTTTTATCTCCCCAGCCCATTTAGTTTGGATGGACTTGAAAAACTCCTCATTTTTATTTCATTCTTTTTACCTACTTTCTCTGATCTTTGCCTATTTAGGATTAACCCAAATAAGATTTTTCCACCAATTTGCATTTAAATCCACTTTTTGTAATATGAATTTTGATGTTATCTTTTTTACTGGGTTTTTTGATGTTGCTTTTCTCTTTCATTTGCTTTATTCAAGATATTTTTCTGTTGAAAATCCATTATTTTTGAGATGAAAAAATGGCTCACCAGTCTAAAGCATTTCTTGTGCAAGCAGGAGGGCAGGAGTTTGATCTCTGGAAATGCAGGCAAATACTTGGTGGGCACAATGGCCCACCCATAATTCTAACCCTGGAAGTGGAAACAGGGGATCCCCAGAGCAAGCTGGCTAACAAGTATAGCCACATCACTGAGTGCTGAGTTTGATGGAGAGACCCTGCCTCAATGAATAAGGTCAAAGAGCAATCTAGGATGAGTCCAAACATCAATGGCAGGCCTCTATGTCAGGTGCACACATGTTGCATGTGCGCCCACACACATGCTCCCACACACATGGAAAAAACATGCACACATATGCATGTCACAGCACATATGAAAAAGTGAGAACAGAAAGAAGAAAATCCATTGTATCTCTTCTGTTTAAACTGCTTCAGGATTTCAGGTATGGTGTAGAAGTTCATCCTTGCTCCAAGTCCACAGGGGAAACCTCCCAGGGTTTTTACCATTAATTCATTTTGGATTTAATCTGCTATGCAATGTGAGACCAAGTTCTCTATTTTAGTTTCAGGTGGTTCATTCTCTCTGAAATCCTCTACTACAAAACCCCTGGATCAGTACTTATAGTTCCTAATGATCAGATATAGGAAGTCTGGTTGCTCAGCTGAAGAGGCAGGTTGGTTACGACCATTATATCAAACTGCTCTCTGCACATAGACTTTAAATCCCGAACCTTTAAGTAGAAGGTCTGCAGCATCTTCTTGTAACCTCACCCTCACAATCAGCATTATTTGATTTCAGAACTCCTGAATTGGAAGGTGAGAAGCCTAGTGAATGCAAAGCCCAACCCTACTCTCCTGAAATACAAAGCCAGCTCTTCCCTGTCCTACCCTTACAAAATCCACTGCTTTCCTTCCATCCTCTATGTCTGCTCTTATCATTTTAAGACTTGGGAATCACAAAAGAGTGCATCTGCTTAAATAGTGACCAAGTCTTGCTCACTTTGCTTGATGAAGCCATGGGCCTTAACTAACACATAGCCATGAAGTGATCATGAACACATAAAGCCATGTGTTGAGCCTTCCTCAAAAGTGGATTAACACTGGACCCTGTTTATCTTGTTCATTTCCTTAGCCAACATTTTTACTCCCTGAAGAGAATAAAACATTGAATCTTATCAATCTCTTGGAAAAATATGTCAATAACAATTAAAGAGCTTTAAAATGCTTAGAAATTTTAAACCTAGTTATCCACTTTCTGGAAATACATTCTAAATTAAAATCCACAAAAAATAAAATGTCTAGTGATTAAATATTTAGAGAGAATGTTGAATAGTTTAGAAAGGGATAAAAAAATACCTTAAATACATGTAAAATAGCCAAATAGAATATTTCATATCTATCAAAGTAGCATTTATGAAGTAGTTGTATCATTTAAAAATTTATGTAATGATAACAACCTTTTCGATAAAATAAAAGCTAAACCTAATAAATATATTTAGTAACTTCTGCTTCTCTGATACACAATGCATATATGTAGAATAGAGATGTATAGGGGCTGGAGAGATGGCTCAGCAGTTAAAATCACACTGCTTTTCTTACAGAAGACCACAACACCCACATGGCAGCTAACAACCATCTATAACTCCAGTTCCAGGGGGATCTGACACCCTCTGTGGGCACTGCATGAGATGGGTGCACTTACAAACATGCAGGCATAGCACTCATACACATTAAATAGAAATAAAATAAATAAATTGAGAAAGTCTAAGAAGAAACGTTCAGACTAAACACAGCTATGAAAAAAGAAAAAAGTAAAGATTATAAACTATGAGCTGATAAAGCTCAAAAATACACTAGCCATAATATCAAATGTTTTTTCTTCTGTATCTTAGAATGAGAATAACTATTTTTGATAAGCAGAAAAAGGAGCTTCATTAAAATTACAACCGTAAGTCTGCTTAGTTGATTGATCGAAAGCAATGTATCAATAATAAGCAAATTTTTGAATTCTATTCAATTACGAGAGGTTTTGTTTGTATCTGTCAGGCAGTTTTGGGGATGACCCATGGTGTTGAACATGTTGGACACATTGTT